GGAAGCAAGGGATGTCGTAGAAGACACTGGCCGTCTGCTGCAGCTGCCTGGGCGCTGGACACGCATGCGCCGCCGCCGCGTTCAACCGGTGGCAAAAACGGTGGGCCCGATCGCGCTCAGCGCGAAGGTGAGTCGCCCAGCGTGCCCAGACTGTGGTGTCGTGGTGCAGCCGCTTGCGAGGTGGCCCCCGCCGCAACTGCCGCCGCTTCACCTTGGGGGGCCGTGGTGCCCGACGAAGCGGTTGGCTCCAGGGCCAACTTTGTCGTGCCTGCGTGCGATCTCGCAGTCAATGCCCTGCAGGAGCTGCAAGACATCATCGGCGGCACCTGCCTCGCCGACGGCCTGTCCATGGGCCCAGGTCCGACGGCGGCAACGTTGGCCCGCGCGCCCCGATCGATCGCGCTTAGTTTTGCTTGGTGGACCAACGTGATCGACGGACCAGCATCGGTCCCGATCGGGCCTGGACTGGACATGGTCCGTGCCAGCCACCCCCTTGTGTCTCAGTGACTGCTCGCGCAATTACCCCAGTGCGACCCTACCTAGAGGTTGGAGCCCCTAGGAAAGCAGCATTAGTTGCTATGCTCTGCTCTGCTCTGCGCTGCTCTGCTCTGCTCTGCTATGCGATGCTGCGCTGTGCTATGCTGTGCTGTGCTGTGTTGCGCCATGCTATGCGGTGCTATGCGGTGTTATGATGCGCTATGCCATGATATGCGGGGCAATGCTATGATATGCGGTGCTGCGTTATGCTACGCTATGCTATGATGTGCTCTGCTATGCTAAAGCTCAACAGAGCTAAGATGAAGGTAGTCTAGGCTAAAATAAAACTGAGCTCGGAGGAAGCGAAGCTAAGTTAATATGACATAAGGGCAGCTAAGATGAGATAGGCGACGCTATGCTAAGGGGGCGTAACTTGGGAACCGCGGGGCGGATGCCGGGGGAACCGCCCGGGGCGATTTCCATTGCCCGGCCCTTTAAGCCCATGGAGTAAGAACCCTTCTGGGCAGAGCCTTGGCCGGGAAATGGGCTATCCATAGTATGCCAAGGAAAAGGGAAACGAGCACAGCCAACAGGAGATGCTCAGGCAGTGGTCGAGGCCCATCGGGGACGCGGCACCGCGTCGGCGTGTCCTTCCCGTGCAGCTCCAGACCCACAGGGTAGTGAGGTCTGGGAATGCTCCCACATCCATGTATCACCTCGAGCTGGCGGAGAGACTCGGGACGCGGGATTGCTGGCCACCAAGAAGTAGTCGATGGTGCACACTCCATTGGAGGTCACGCGCGTAGGGCCGACGGCTGGAGGAGAGTGCCTGCCAAAGGCCCAACGCAGTCGCCAATGTTGATGCTCTGGCCGTCGGCGTTCCAGTCACCCCCGATGATCCAGTCGAGGCCGCGCGCGTTCCACGCCGCCACGCGCTTCGCGAGCGCCCATGGGATCGAGGGGTTGGCCCCAGTGACGCCGATGCCCTGAACCATGTACACGCTGACGACAATCAGACCACCAGGGGCACCCCAGTGAACGTGAGTTGCCACAGCATGATGGGGAAAAACGACATGATCCCCATCGGGGGGCATCGTGACCATCACGTTGGTAGGCGCGAGCACGCAGGCCCCACTGGAGCACGACGCCGCGGGCGCTCCCCCCGTTTCCTCGGCAGGGGCCCAGAGGCCGTGCCAACCTGCGTCGCGCGCGGCAGATCGAACAGCCCAAGCCGCTGGTCGACCACCCGTGTCTCCTGGGCCATCACCACCTTGCCGAGGAAGTGCGGCAGGAAGTTGAGAAGTGGCCCGTGGGAGCCACCGTGGCCAGCTTGGCCGCCACCTGACAGTGCGCGTCGCCAGCATCAGGCATGGCCGTGCTGGGACCCTGCGCAAAAGGATCGTGACCCTCTGGCATGCTTGTGTCGTTGCCGCCAGCTCGGCATCGAGGTGGCCCTTTCCGCCAGTTGCGAAGTAAGCCCGCGGACTGGTCGGCCGCCGAATTGGCCCTCCCACCGCTGCCAGGGGCTCCTGCAGAGCCCACCTCGAACTGGGTCATGGATAGGCACCAGAACAGCGCGAAGGTACATCCTCGCGGGCGCGCCGCACACGGTGAAGACGCGTAGACTGGAGTACAGATCGACGGCGACGGGCTGGAGCAGTTGTGGCCACCGGCTGGAGACACACTGTGCTCTTCGTCAAGCGGAGGCGGACCCATGCAGCCAGGGCCCAACCTAGCAGCAACGTGTACATAGTACGTGCTGCCCTGTGGGCGCCCCTCGTTACCTCTGGCATTCCGTACATGGTCTTTCCTGCCAGGAAGGCCCCAGCTGACAGCCTGTGCATGGTACGTGCTGTCAGTGCACGGGAGGCCACAGCTGACATTCCGCCCATGGGACTTCCTGTCAGTTTGATGGCCGCACAGCCCGCCACAACAGGCTGGCGCATTGCACTCGCATCGAATGATCTGTGCATGGCACGCGCCATCCGTGTGGTCGCGCTGGCAGGCGCTGCCCTCAGAAAAGGAGCTGGTCGAGCCTTTTTCTTCCTCTTGTGCGCCGTGGCCGCATGCGTCAAGGAGTCGAGGGCACGCTTGTACGCGACCCGCATGTCCGCGTCGGTGGCCTCGTCAGGCTGCGCGAGTCCTGCCGCCTCCAACGCCTCCCGCAGCTCGGCGGACTCCATGAGGTCGATGCCGATTTCCATGTCGTTCATGGCGGCTTCCTCAGCGAGGACCTGCACCTGGCCCGCGGGGAGAACGGCGGTGGGAGCAACTCTTCCTCCTTCTCCAGCAGGGGTCGCGGGAGCAGGGGCAGCAGCGGGCGCCTGTGCCGCCGGCGGCTTTGCCTGGGGAAGCTCATGGAGCCTCCCGAAGACTTTGGCCGCCGTCTCCAGCTCCGTCTGAAGGCTGGGGTCCACGCCGAGCTCCGCGGCCAACTCGCCAAGCTGCTGGACGTTGACAGTGAACTTCGGCAGCAGGTCATGGGGCGTGGGCGGGCCAGCAGTGGGCGGAGGAGCCCGGTCGGCGCCCAGGCGCTGAACCTCCACCTCCGGCCGTGCGGCTTCGGCATCTGCCTCGGCCAGGGAGTCCTGGAGCACCGTTTGCTTGGTGACCAGCTCGTCGATGACCAGCTGCTTCTGAGCGTGCTCCTCGCGAAGGCGCTTGGCCTTGGCACGGGAGTTCCGCAGCCTCGTGGTGAGGGAGGTGACCTGATCTTCCAAGGGGCGCTCGGCGTCGAGCTCCTTGCCCAGGCGTTCCTTCTCTTCGGTGAGGGACTTGACCTGCCCCAGGTCAGGGGCCACAGAGGATCCATCATAGACCTTAAGGAGCTCATTGATCTCCTTGATGCGGTCACGCTTGACCTGCTTCTCCGACGGGTCAGCGGTGCCTCCGCTGTTACCAGTGGGAGCCCCATGGGGGCACCCACTGTCCAATCCGACGCCCGCCCCAGCAGCGGAAGCACTCCCCTCAGCAGCAGCAGCAGCAGCAGCCCAAGGAGGAGGCGACTGGGCGACCTCGAGCTTCTTGACCATGGCCTGGAGGTCGGCAAGCTGCTTGGCCATGGAGGCGGTGTCGGACTTATCCTTAGATGCCTTAGGTGAGCCCGTGGACATGGTCGCACGGTTTCCTTTGGGCGTTTTGGGACCACCGTAGCAAACTCCTTTATGTAGGTTGCATGTGGAGTACTGCTTGAGGTCGCCACGGTTGATCCACGGCGTGCCGTCCCTCGTGGCGCACTTCTTGCAGCGTCAGGGGTCAGCAGCGAGGCGGCGCGACATGGCGGCGCCGTGACGAATGTAAGGCCAGCCGGGCCGCAGTAACCGTTTACATTCCAGGAATCCTGGGGGCGCCACCCAGGAAACCCAGAAACCAAACTTGGCTTGAGCCAGAATGGCTTGAGCCCAACTGGCTTGAGCCCAAATGGCTTGAGCCAAAATGGCTACGGGAGGGGGGAGTAGGAGGAGGAGGAGGAGGAGGAGGAGGGACATGATGATGATGATGCTGATGGCGATGATGATGCTGATGCCGATGATGACGATGATGCTGATGATGGTGATGCTGATGGTGCTGTTGATGATGTTGCTGGTATGATGGTGAGAATGATGATGACGATAATGAGGATAATGACGATGACGATGACGATGACGATGGTGATAATGATGATGGTGATGATGATGATGAGGATGAGGATGATCATGAGGATGATGATAATGATGATGCTGATGATGGTGATGCTGATGATGCTGGTGATGCTGCTGATGATGGTGATGACGATGGTGATTATGACGATGATGACGGTGATGACGGTGTTGACGATGGTGATGACGATGGTGATGACGAAGAGGAGGAGGAGGACGAGGAGGAGGAGGAGGAGGAAGAAGCGGAGGAGGAGGAGGAGGAACGGGGAGGGGGAGGGGAGGGAGGGAAGGACGGAATAGGCAAGAGCAGGAGCAGGAACATGGTCAGGAGAAGGTGGAGGAACAAGAGGATGAACAACAGGAAGAGGAGGCGCAGCAACGAAGATATGATGATGAATTGGAGAGAGCAGAATGATCAAGATCAGGGGCAGGAGGAGGAGGAGGAGGAGGAGGAGGAGGAGGAGGAGGAGGAGGAGGAGGAAGGGGGTGGAGGAGGGGTAACGCCGGCAGCCGATGCGCTTCCTCTCCTAGTGGTTGGAAGCAGGAACCGAGCACCGCGCCGCCACCGCCATCACTGCCACCGCCGCCATCACCGCCACACCGCCGTTATCACTACCGTTATCGCTGCCATTTCCACCATCACCGCCGCTACCACCATCACTGCCATCACGCCATTACCGCCATCACCATCATCACTGCTATCATTGCCATCACTGCCATCACGGTCATCGCTGCTATCACCGCTGTCACCACCATCACCGCTATTACCGCCATCGCTTAGTCATCGTCATCAATGCTACCGCCACCGCAAAAATCGTGTGTGGGCAAACATATTTCGGCGTTGCCTAAGGGCCATGAAATGCCACGAACGCGAAGGGATAGCAGGTCTCCGTCGGGCAGAAGGGCTTCTGCCTGGCGGCATGCGCGAGAAGCAGGAGGGGTTTGGGTTTGGCAGGGATCCGCTGGTTCGATGCTTCTTCTCGTCCTCGCTCTTCCTCGACCATCTCATCATCTGCTTGTTCTTCCAGATCCTTCATCCTGGACTTATCTCACGCCTCCTCGTCACACCACCAGGCGCGCTTGTAGGGCTGCCTGGGCGTTTCACCTTCAATTTTCTCCGAAGTCTTCCTGCGCCGCTCCAGCCCCAGACATGGCGGTTAAGTATCAGCGCTACGTTCCTGTTCCGCACGGGCCTCGGCTACAGGCAAGCGTTCTGTCGCCACCGCCACCTCTGGTTTTCCCAGGTCGCCGACGCCCACGCACGGTGCCAACTTGGGCGTCTCTGTGTGGGCTCCCTTCGACAGTCATCGTGTCAGGGTGGTTGAGCTTCCTGCGCTAGATTGAGGGGGGTCGGGCGATCTTTTCCTGTCCCTGCGCGCGTGGCTGCAAAGGGGGGCCTGCAGGCGGGGAGGGCGCGTGGGAGGGCTCGCGACGCTCTGTGGTTTCGCCCCCCCTCACCATCACCCGCACTTGCGGTTGCGCCAAGTTGGTCGATGCAGCTTGGCGCCCAGTTCCCTCGACAATCGGACGTGAACGACGCCAGGGTCTTTCGCGTACGACTGGACCTCCCTTCGGGGACAGCGTGCCTCGCTCGCCCGCCGTGCTTCGGATGCTGACGATGTGCGGACGTGTGCGCGGTCAGCTTCCGCTCGCCGCGCGATCTCGGATCGCGTGCTTTTACAGGTAGGGGGCTCCAGCAAGGTCCCCGTCTCGGTGCACGTGGCCTTTGGTGGAAGCTGGCGAACGGCGGGCGAAAGCCTGGGGAATTGGATGGTGGCGGCTACGTCAGCGGAAGGTCGGCAGAAGGTGGCGGACGTGAGATGCCAACTATGTTGGATTCACGGTTTCTGGGGTCGGCCGTGTGTATGTGTGTTTGTGCGTGTGTGTGTGTGTGTGTGTGTGTGCTACATCGCATCGGTCATTCACTACCCAGCGCACTACGTTCTGCCGAACCCATCCGCTGTTGTCGACCTGCTGGCTCAGCTCCGCGTGGCCCTTGATACTTCCAGGTTCCAGGTTGGGAGTCCCAAGTGCCCCCTGACGACCGCCAGAGCCATCGCCGCCCTGGTCCATGTGCGGCAGGACGTGTGGGGCCCTCAGCCTGCCCAAGCCAAGGCTGCCCGCCTCTGGCAGAGTGCAGTTCGATGGGCCATCGCCCAACCTGGCTGTGACCAGGTACGCAGGCCTCGGTCTATCATCGTCACACGCGTCAGAGCTGCGCAGATCATCCTTGCGCAAGCTTCCCAGCGGCGTCCCCCCAGACCAGGCCTCCTTGGCAGGACCATCTACGTCAGCATATGGGCTTCTCAGAACGCCAACAACCACAGGCAGTGAATGCACTCTGCCAGCGCCAGACGGGGTTGGGCGCCTGGAGAAGGCCACGAATTGGGCCTGCTACTACACGCCCCCAGCTTCACGCCGCTTACCACATCCTAAAGCCCCTAGCTAGTGGCCTCCCTGGAAAGGCAAGATGGAGGGCGGCGGTTGATCGTTCTCAGCCTCGGTGCTGCGTGCTATGCCCCAGCTAAGGCTGTCTGGCACACAGGAAGCCGCGACTCGCCTGGCAAAGCCTGGTGCCTGACCTGTCTTGGACCATGGGCGCACGACGATGCCAAGTGGGCAGCCCTCGGCGCGCACCGCATCTCCGACGGGCTGGTCGACGGGTGGCGCCTCTTCGGTCACGACGACGCCCCTCTCCACCCCGCCCCCTTCCTCAGTCCCAGCCCGTACGGCTGCTGCCCGCTGTGCGGCCATGGTGCGTGACCGCGGCTCTAGCTTGGCACTTGGTTCGCCCCCCGAACTCCCCCTGAACGTCCGTCAGGGCTATCATGCAGCCCAGTGGCCACTCCAGAGTGTTTTCGGACTTCCTGTATCAGGTTGCCTCTCGGTACTCGGTGGCGCTCGACCATCCCCCCTTCGGCCCAGACGTCGCTGCCAACGCCATTCGAGCGGCCATCAACGCAGATCGCACGGCTGATCAGCCTTCTGACGAAGATGCGCCTGACGACCCGATAGACCCGCCGACACAGCCACTCGATGCGTGGACACCGTGCGAAGAGGCTTGCCCAGGCTTCTGCCCCTCCCAGCCTTTCACCGCACTTGCTGGATCCGCTCGACCGCACCTCGCCCGCAGCGCGCCCCGTGCTGGGGGAAAAACATGACGGCTCCCCGTCTGCACTCGGGAGTCACTACCAACACCGTCCTCCTCCACGTGAGGTGTGAGGCGCCGGTGGGAGGGTGGCTGCTGGCGGGACGAGGACGGGCCCCATGCCCCCGTTCCACAAGCTACCACCCAAACGCACGGTGGGAATATGAGTTCTGCCGCGAGTGCTGCCAGCACTGGCAAACCCTCTGGTCTAGCTCCCCCATCGAGGCCCAGTCGGAGGTGACCGTTCCCCGCTCCCCCGTCCCCAACCAGGATAGGGCGCAGTGGCCCATGGAGGTCGCCTTTGACGGTGGCGCCAGGCTGCTGGGTCGCCAAAGGGTTGCAGGCGCCGGGGCCACCTTGTGGCAGCATTCCATCGACGGAGGACCGCCAGTACGCCTGGCGTCATGCATCGACGCCCTACCAGGGACCGATACCGCGCAAACGGCGGAAGCAGCAGGATGCAGGGCAGGGTTAAGCGCCCTGGCTACAACGACCTCCCCAATGCGCTCAGCTAGAATTGTGGGCGACAACCTCGCGGCCGTCAGGTGCGGGGCCAGTGCCGCCAGATATCGGAGACTACACCTGGCCGCGCAGATGGACGTGGGACTGGGGCCCCTCATTCAAAGAGGATGTCCCTAGACTGGCAGGCGGTGCGACGCCGCTTGAACACCGCCAGCGATAGGCTGGCCACCACCGGCGCATTCTGGGCCGAGGCCCTCCGAAGCGCCAGGCTCTGTCAGGTCCAAATCTGGACCATCTGGCACAACGCCCCAGTGCGGGTGCCTCCTCCTCTTTTCCCCCTCCCCGACGGCACTCCCCTTGATCCCGACTCCTTCTCCGCCGCTGCGGATGACCTGGAGCTGGCCTGGCTCCGGGATTGATCGCGACAAGGCAGGATCGGCCGATCGCCTTTTTAGCTCCACTAAGGCTGCGCAGCCCCCCCCTCCTGGACCAGCCATTCCCCGCTGCGTCTTTCAATTCACCCTACAACTATTGGTTGCCCCCCCCCCTGTGGCCCCGCCATTTCATCGGTGGCTTGCAGCGCTTGCCCCTGGCCCTGCCCCTGGCCCCCGCGTTCCCGGCGGCAGCGCGGGGAAGGGGCCGCGCTTTCAATGCAGGCGGTGTCTTTTCATGGGGTTGGTGGGTCGGGACCATTGGCGGGCGGCGGCTGTGGTGCTGTGAAATCGACAGCGCCTTCGTCCAGGATAAGTCGCACCTTGATGGGGATAAGCACAGGAGGGCCTTTCCTAACTACACCGGCGGCCTCCCTGACCCTATGGAATGGGATGGGCCCGGCATACCGTGGGATCACATTCGCAGAGGTGGAACAGCCAAACAGTGCGCTGGGTGGGTGCACCCTCGTTATGGGGTAGTGGACGGAAAGGAGGTACAGTTTTTGACTTTGTGGGAGATGACTGGATCGCCGCCCCTATCTGCTACCCCCCCGTGAACGCCCCGCTCGGTTGGCTCTCCCCTGACGGCCTAGGCAGGGACATCGATTCAGTCCGACCCCCGTGGATGCTCTGCGGCGAAAACCCATCCAGAAGCAAGGCAGGGGCGGAGCAGACTCGTATGGCGCTGCAAGGACTCGCTATCCATGCCCCAGTGCCACGGACAGGACCAGGGCCCTCAAACGCCAGCGGCGCTGCCAGTGGACTCGCGGCTGCCTCTCGGGCCAAGGGGCCAGAGATCTTCCGCCTTTCAGAGGGCGACCCCCCAGGCGAGCCAAGTGCGCCGCCGCCCCGCGTCTCTGACAGACCCGGGCCTCTCGCTCTCCCGGACGACGGCCCTCCCAGCCTACGCGCTGCGCGCGCCATCCGGGACATGTGCACTCACTTTTGGCGCTCTCCTCCCGTGCGGCCCATCCAGCGTCCCATCGCATTCCATCGGGCCCGTGCCAGGAGCTCCCACCCTGCCCCGCAGGTGGCAGTGGGGGTATCGCGCCGTGGGCTGGAAGCTATATCAGATCTACGAGATCGAGCTCATGGCCAGATTTGAGCCTGGGGAAGATGGCCCCCCTATGGCGCGCAACGAACTGCGCGGGGAGGCCACGTGCGCTCTGGACGTTGCCGTCCACAAGCATAACCCCCAATCCCCGCACCCCGTCGTACACGAATGAAACCTCCAACGAAGACTAAGCGACCGCCGGGATGGGGAATGAGAGAACTACATCTTGTCTTGGGATGGCGACGGGCGCGTTGAATGGAACAAGGAGGAACTTAGGGATTTCGCCCTGTTGATCTCCTGGCACCCCCCCGTCGCAGGACGCCTCAGCGACGCGAGGTCCATCCGGCCCCCCCTCCCCCGGCGGACTCTCAGAAGCCGTGCCTTGGAGCAGGTGCCCCACCAATCGCACCATTGTTGCCGTGCGCACCCTGCGCCCCAGCTGCAGACGTGTGTTGGTATCGAGTAGACGAGCGTCCAGGCCACGTGCAGACGCGCAGGGCGTGGGCGGCAATGCAGCGGCTCTTTCTGCTCAAGCCCTGACCTGACGACGTGACGGGCACCCCCATCAAACTCGCCCCCTACGCGATGGCTTTCCGGGCTTTCCGCGCCGCCCCTAGGGGGCAAGGCGAACGTCATTCCGCCAGCCATCTGGCGGACATGGGAGGCCGACTACTCGCGCGCGCAGCCGCCGCACTCAACATGCGGAACCTGGACCCAGACGGACGCGCCCCAACATGAGGCCCCATGGCTGGCCAAGAATGATTGCGAAACAACTGACACAAGGCCCAACATATTCCAAGAATGATCGAAGATGGCATCACGCGGCCCAGACCACCGCTGGACGCCCGAAGACGGCCCGAAAGTCACCTGCAAGAGGCGCTCGAAATTAGGAGAACATTGATGTTTCATGTTTTTTCGTACGATTTTCGAATACTCGCCCACTCGGGCCTCCAAGCGTCCGAGAACGCTGGAAAGGTACCAGACAGCGCTCCAAGACGAGCCAAACGCGTTTACTGTCACCCCAACACGGTCACACGAGGGTCCAAGATGGCCCCCAAATTGCCCGCAGGTAGCCCCGCGACTGGCCCAAAATGATTGCAAGCAACCTGCGCAAGGCCCAAGAGACTCCTAAAACGATCGAAGATGGCATCAAGCGGCCCATACCCCCGCTGGACGGCCGAACACGGCCCGAACGTCATTTGGAAGAGGCGCTCGAAATTTGGAAAAACATTGATTTTCCATTGGTTTTTTAAATGTTCGGATGCTCGCTCATTCAGGCTTCCAAGCGTCCGAGATCGCTGAGCAAAAAACCCGAAAACCGCTCCAAGACAAGCCAGACGGGCTTCCTGACAGTCCAAGAGGGCCCCATGAGAGCCCAAAGCGGCCCCCAAACTGCCCACGGGCGGCCTCGCCACGGCCCCAAATTCAAGACAACTTCCCCAAGAATGCAACACGTGATCTGGAACCACGACACTCGGTATGGTGGCTCGAGAACCTCCCCACTAGTCGCCGAAGGGCGCCACGGCCGCCTCCAGAGCCTCCCATGGAGCCCTAACAGTGCTTCCGCGAAGCTCTCCAGAGATTCGCCACGAAGGAGCTTCCGCGAACGAGTTAGAAGAGGACGAAGAAGCCTTCGTGTGCCAATTCACTCGAGAATGAAGAAGAGAACATGAACGAAGACAAACATAAGGAAAATAACAAGAAGAACAATGTAACCACGGGGATGGCGACATCGGCCACCAGCAACGATTTCTGCCTTGATCGGCTTATCTTTCTCAGTCTGCCTGCACCGTCCACTTACCAGACCAAGGTGCATGGCGCGGGGGGGGGGGCAGTAATGGGCAAAAGTGGTGGTTGACGATGCCTGTGGGACGGAGTCTAGTGAGTAGTGTGATTGTGCACGTGAGCGTGATGTGATGTGACGATGTTGGCGAAGCGCACTCGACATTGTCGTGACACCAACGGGACACCGGCGGGACACCGCGCGCCACCAGCCGCCAGAGGATAATCATTTGGTCCGGCCGCGGCCCAGCGACAGGAGGATTTCGGGACACCAGCGGGACACCGGCGGGACACCGTGGGCCACCGGCCGCCGGAGGAGAATCATTTGGTCCGGCCGCGGCCCAGCCACAGGAGGATTTCGGGACACCAGCGGGAAACTGGCGGGACACCGCGGGCCACCGGCCGCCGGAGGAGAAGCATTTGGTCCGGCCGCGGCCCAGCCACAGGAGGATTTCTTTTCGCCCGCCCACGCAGCGTCGCCTCGCCCGCACGCTCGCACGGCACGCACGACACGAACCCGAAACCGAAATCGATTTCCTGGTAGGGGGTCTCCGTTTCACGTCGGACTCACCCCCCAACCTCCGATATGCATATGTATATGTGTATATATATATGAGATATATCTATATATGTAGGTGTGTGTGTGCGTGTGCGTGTGCGTGTGCGTGTGTGTGTGTGTGTGCGTGTGTGTGTGTGTGTGTGTGTGTCTGTGTGTCTGTGTGTGTGTGTGTGTGTGTGTGTTCACGGTCTCCGCCTCGTCGCTGCGCGCGAGGCCGCGCTCGCTAAAAACTGTGTGTGTTCATTGTTCAGTGACGGTGATGCCTACTGAGGCAGTGGCAGCTGAGCGTTGGGCATGGAAACCTCCTTCCAACGCTCTGGCGGGATCCCTGCTCTGCGTCGTGTCTTCCTCGCTGCGAGTACGGGGTGCAGTGGGGTTGCGCGCGCCAGGGGCCCCATGCTGATGCTTGCGGGTCGCTGGACCTCGCAGCTGGTGCAGGCGGTCTCCGTGCTGCACAGGCTGCCCCCATGGGCGTTGGGCAGTGGGGGGCTTGGAGCAGGAACCCCGAGAGTGGAGGGATGGGTCCACGTTCCCCTCCCCCGCACTGCCTTTCACCGCCCCCATCGCGGCCTCTCACTTCACTCTCTCTCTCTCTCTCCCTCTCTCTCCCTTCCTTTCCTCCCTCCTCCTGCCCCGCCTCCTCTCCTCCTCCAGCCCCTCTGCCTCCCCCGCCGCCCTCTCTCTGTTCCTCCCGCACATCCTGCTCCTTTCTACGGACGCCCACCATGTGAAGCCTCAGCGGACCCAGCCAGCGCACGGGGGGGTGCCCATGAGGCGCCCACGGGCGCCCAGCAGGCGAAACCTCGGCGGACCCAGCCAGCGCACGGGGTGCCCACTGGGTGCCCACTGGCGCCTGCCAGGCGACGCCTCCGCGGAGCCAGCCCGTGCACAAGGCGTCGACTGGGCGCCCACTGGCGCCTACCAGGCCAAACCTCGGCGGACACATGAAATTATTGATCAACCCAAGTAAAGAGGCCCCAAGTGCATGCACGGTTTTTGGGGTAACTGGAAAGCGAGAGCCCCATTTTGAATAGGAGTTGCCCTCCATCCTTGTACATGTTGGAGACTTGTGGGACGAATGTGCACGGTGCCAGGGCGAGCGCAACATATGAAAACGATTAGCTTTCCATCCCAGTAACTGTTGGAAACCTTTCAGGCCAATGTGTGCAGCGAGCGCTAAGTTGAGACGCACATGCAGATAACGTGTGAGCCTCCATCTTTGTATGCATATGCATGTATGTTTATACATACATATGTGTAACTACGGTACTTTTCAGACGAATGTGCGCGATGCTAGGTCGAGCGCCATTTGAAAACGACTCGCCCTCTATGCTGGCCACTTTTGGGAATTACATTTTTCAGGATCGCAAGGCGGTGAAGAAATCTCAGGCGAAGCGCCTGGCCCGCCATCCCGACATGGAATGTCTGGTGTTGTGACGAGGGGGAGTTATTCGTAACGGTTTCGCCCTCTGCCGCCGGCCTCCCTCTATATTATTGAAGACGCCTACGGCGAATCACCGTCGCCCTCTGCCTGTTGGAATCGCCCATGTGGCCGAGCGTTGTGGCAAGTGCTCTGCCAAGCCATCGGACCATGTGTTCCCCCAGCCGTTGTGGACACCTTTCGGGGAACACTTGGGGGAGGATGGCGGGGAAGATGAGGTGGAGGAGGAGGAGGACGAGCATGACGAGGAGGATGAGGAGGAGGAGGAGGAGGAGGAGGAGGATGAGGAGGAGGAGGTGGAGGAGGAGGAGGAGGCATCTTGGGAGCCTCTGGGGGTACTCTTGGGACATCCTGGGAGCCTCCTGGGAGGCTCTTGGAGGCATCTTGGGGGCCTCCTTGGGCCTCTTCGGGGCCTTTGGGGGCTTCTCGGGGGCCTCTTTGGCCGTCTTGAGGCATTCCTGGCCCGTCTGACGCCGTCGGAAGCCGTCTTTGGGGCCTGTCTGAATCGAGTAGGGGCTCCTCGGGCGCTTCAGGGCCGTCTTGGGCGTCTTGGAGACCTCTTGGGCCGTCTTGGGGCCCTTGTGGGGCCGTCTTGGGATCCTCTTGGGCCGTCATGGGGCCATCTTGGAGGCCTTTCGGGCGATCTTGGGGCGACCTTGGGGGCCTCTTGGGCAGCCTTGGGCCGTCTGAAGGCCGAAAAGGCGCAAATGACAAAATCCATTCAAAAACCTCAGGACAATCAATGATTTTGGCCTCTTCGAGCCTTCCTGGAGGACCTCTTGGATGCCTCTTGGAGGCCTTTGGGCCGTCTTGGAGGCCTCTTGGGGGCCTCTTGGGCCGTCTTGGGCCATCCTGAGACTATCTGAGGCAGTCTTGGTTTGGGACGTCTTGGAGGCATCTTGAGGCCATCTTAGTAGCCGTCTTGGAGGCCATCTTGGCCGTCTCGGAGGCATCTCGGAGGCCATCTTGGGCCATCTTGACCGTCTTGGAAGCCATCTTGGGCCGTCTTGGACGATTTTTTGGGGACGTTGTGCGCAATTGCGCGTCTTTCCGGGTGGCCGGCGCGTTGGGCCGGAGCCCCACGGGAGTATTTGCGGAAGAAAAACCCAAACCGGTAGGATTTAGCACGCCAGGCACCTCTGTGGCAAGACCACAGGGGGCGGCGGATCGAAGACGCCTACGGCGAATCACCGCCGCCCCCTGCCTTTTGGGAAGCGCCTATGTGGCCGATCGTTGAGTCCAGACCTGCCAAGCTATCGGACTATGTGTTCCCCGAATCGGTTTGGAAAGCCTTCGGGGAATACGTGGGCATATTGAAGGTTCTCTTGGCCGCCTGGAGGCCATTTGGACCCTTTCGGGCCTTCTTGGAGGACGTCTTGGAGGGCTCTTGGGCCGTCTTGGAGGCCATCTTGAGCGTCTTGGAGGCCTCTTGGGCCGTCTTGGGGACCTCTCGGGGCTGTCTTGGGCCTCTTGGGCGATCTGTGGTGGCACTTGGGCCATCTCGGGCCGTCGGAAGGCCGACAAAAAAACAAGTGCCACAATCCTTCAAAAAATCTTGGGAAATCAATGAGTTTGGCCTTTTCGGCCCCTCCTGGAGGCCCTCTTGGAGGCCTCTTGGGCCGTCTTGGGCCATCTTGGGCCATCTTCGGCCGTTTTGGTGGGCTCGTCGCCCGTCCGACGCCGTCGGAAGCCGTTTGTGGGGCCTGTCTGAGCCGACTTGGGGCCCTCTTGGGGTGCTCCAGGGCCGTCTTAGAGGCCATCTTGGGCGTCTTGGAGGCCTCTTGAGTCGTCTCTGTGCCCTCTTGGGGCCGTCTTGGGAGCTTTTTCGGCAGTCCTGAGGCCATCTTGAGGGCCTCTTGGGCGATCTTTGGGCGATTTTTTTAGGGGGCTCTTGGGCCGTCTTGGGCCGTCGGAAGGCCGAAACGAAGCAAATGTCAAATCCGTCAAAACCCATGGGCAAATCAATGTTCTTGGCTTTTTTCTGGCTTTCCTGGAGGCCCTCTTGGAGGCGTCTTGGGCCGTCTTGGGCCAGCTTCGAGCCAACTTCGGCCATCTTGGTGGGCTCCTGGCCCGTCTGACGCCGTCGGAAGCCGTTTGGAGGGCCTTTCTGGGCCGACTTGGGGCCCTCTTGGGGTGCTCCAGGGCCGTCTTAGAGGCCATCTTGGGCGTCTTGGAGGCCTCTTGAGTTGTCTCTGTGCCCTCTTGGGGCCGTCTTGGGAGCCTCTTCGGCAGTCCTGAGGCCATCTTGGAGGCCTCTTGGGCGCTGTGGGGGCTATCTTTGGGGCCTCTTGGGCCGTCTTGGGTCGTCGGAAAGCCGAGATCAATAATTTTGGTCTCTTCGGGCCCTCCTGGAGGGCCGTCTCGGAGGCATCTTGGGTACCTCTTGGGTACCTCTTGGGGGCCTCTTGGGCCATCTTGGAGGCTTCTTGGGCGAACTTGGACGTATCTGGGACCCTCTTGGGCCGTCTGGGAGGCCGTCTTGGACCATCTTGTGCGAGCTTGAGGCCCATCTTGGCCGTCTTGGAGGCCATCTTGAGCCGTCTTGGAGAATTTTTTCCGGACTTTGAGGTCGTTTGCGGGCCTGGAGCTCCCTCCCGGGACCCCGGCGGGACGGGCCGGAGACCCAGGGGGAGTTCTTTTGGAATTATCCTGGCGGAGGACCCAACCATAAGCAATTGTATGTAACGCGTTGTGGGTGCCTCTTTCGGTGGGGCTCCCTACGGGGCCACGAAACGCTGCCCTGGGTACGGGAACCGCAAGCGAACTGCGCCACTGGGGCGGGCCTTCGGTGGCGCTCCCTATGGGGCCACGAAGCGCTGCCCTGGGCAGGGGAACCGCATGCGAACTGCGCCACTGGGGCTATCGGCGGAGCTCCCTATGAGGCCGCGGAGCGTTGCCCTGGGTGGGGGAACCGCATGCGAACTGCGCCACGGGGGCCTTCGGTGGAGCTCCCTATGGTCCCTATGGGGTCACGAAGCGCTGCCCTGGGTGGGGGAACCGCATGCGAACTGCGCCACTGGGGCCTTCGGTGGAGCTCCCCATGGGGCCACGAAGCGCTGCCCTGGGTGGGGGAACCGCATGCGAGAGCAGCCACTGGGGCCTTCGGTGGAGCTCCCTAAAGGTCCACGAAACTATGCCCTGGGTGGGGGAGCCGCGTGCGAGAACAGCCACTGGGGCCTTCGGTGGAGCTCCCTGTGGGGCCACCAAGCGCTGCCCTGGGCGGGGGAACCGCATGCGAACTGCGCCACTGGGGCCTTCGGTGAAGCTCCCGATGGGGCCATCGGCGGAGCTCCCTATGGGGCCGCGGAGCGTTGCCCTGGGTGGGGAAACCGCATGCGAACACCCCCACAGGGGCCTTCGGCGGGGCTCCCCATGGGGCTACGAAGCGCTGCCCTGGGTGGAGGAACCGCATGCGACCCCCCCCACTGGGGCCATCGGCGTAGCTCCCTATGGGGCCACGAAGCGCTGCCCTGGGTGTGGGACCCGCGTGCCCCCCCCCTCCCCCCCACACTGGGGCCATCGGCGGAGCTCTCTATGGAGCCACGAAGCGCTGCCCTGGGTGGGGGGGGAGCCGCATGCGACCCCCCCACTGGGGCCATCGGCGGAGCTCCCTATGGGGCCACGAAGCGCTGCCCTGGGTGGGGGAACCACGTGCGACCCCCCCACTTGGGTCATCGGCGGAGCTCCCTGTGGGGCCACGAAGCGTTGCCCTGGGTTGGGGAACCGCATGCGACCACCCTCCGCGGGGGCTATCGGCGTAGCTCCCTATGGGGCCACGAAGCGCTGCCCTGCGTGGGGGAACCGCATGCAACCCCCCCTCCCCCGCTGGGGCCATCGGCGGAGCTCCCTCCCTATGGGGACGCGAAGCGCGGCCCTGGGCGGGGGAACCGCATGCGATCCCCACCACTGGGGCCATCGGCGGAGCTCCCTATGGGGCCACGAAACGCTGCCCTGAGTGGGGGAACCGCATGCGACCACCCCCACTGGGGCCATCGGCGGAGCTCCTTATGGTGCCAC